TTTTTTTTTTTTTTTTTCTTTTTGAGACAGGGTTTCACTATGCAGTACAGGCTGGCCTTGAGCTCACTTTGTAGCCCAGGCTGGTCTCAAACTCCCAACAATCCTCCTGCTTCAGCCTCCTGAGTGCTGGTATTACAGCCATGCCCCACTATGCCCAGCCCACCTTGTTAAGAATGTTGGTTTGTCTTAAGAGAATCAAATCCATTTTTATATTTTCCTTACATTTTTTCTCTTTTTCAGGTTTTTTTTCCTCTTGAAATTTTTCTTGTGTCTTTTCTTCCTGAAGTCGCTTTTGTTTCTCTTCTTCCTCCTTTCTAAGACTTTCTCTCCATAAATTTTCTTTTCCTTGCTTTGCTTTCCTTGAAATAGAACAAAAGCAGTTTGTATATGCTGTAATGTTTTCTTTACATGAAGTAAAAATGTAACAGAAGTTCTGGTTCCTATAAGCTAGGGATCTAGCAACACAGTATTAGCTGAAGGATGGAGGGAAATTAGCTGAAGGATTGGAGATGAAACTGAAGCCAGTCCATCAATCAAAAGATAGGCCTTGGATTAATGTGTCACAGTTCCCCACACCTCCAATTCCTTCTTGCAGCCAACTTTCAAACCCAAAGAAAGGAGAAGAAAAACAAAATAAAACAAAAAAAGCCAACAAAACATAAAAAAGAGAACTATTTGCAAACATCTAAAAATTCTTTCCATACAGATTCTTCACGGGGTTTGCCTTCTAGCTTTTTTTTTTTTGCGGAGCTGGGCATTGAACTCAGGCCCTTGTGCTTGCCAGGCAAGCACTTACTCAACTGAGCCTTCTAGCTTTTATCTCCACTATCCTAGTTAGTCCTTGTGAGGACTTAGTGCTTTGGAAGTGCAAAATGTTTCTCAAAAGCTTGCTTCATGTATTACCATCCCAAAGTCTTTTTTTAAAATTTTTTTTATGTATTTAGTACAGGGTCTACAGAGTTTACACGGATTAGACTCGGAGTGATTCTTCTGTTTTCAGCCTCCTAAGCCCTGGGAATACAGGTGTGTGTTACCATGCCCAGTCTCAACTGCTAGCTCAGTGTGCCCCAGGGCAGGGCTGGCATGGCAGGCCCAAAAATTCTTTCCACACTTGCTTAGGTAACATTTTTCTCTATAGGCATAGGACCATGCTTCTCCCATGTTTCTAAGTCATCTGATAGTAGAGATGTTCATTTAATTATTTTGGTTGTTTTGAAGTGGGGTCTTGTTACATAGCCCAGGGTGACCTTGAACTCAAAACAGTCCTCCTGCTTCATCCTCTCAAATGTTGGGATTGCAGGTGCTTACCAGCTGATAGTCAAGATGACCTATGATCAGACTTAATTACTTTACTGTTAGAATTAAAGCACACTATAGTTCTCCTTTTCATGCATTTTTCTGACCTTCCTAAGAGACAGAATGGCCACCATTAAATTTAGTACCTTCTCAAGGCACAATGTGGGGAGTGGAGACTATAGCATTCCAACCTCTGGCTTACTTCTAAAGTCCTATTCCTTAATTTCTCAACAAATTTGGAAATCCTGAATAATTCGAAAAATTGTAGCCCCCCCAGTCCTAAATCTTTTCTCGTGATCCCCAAGGTGTCTTCCAATATCCTGATGCCTCCATCAGCTACCTTCACCTTTTTTTTTTTCAATCACAGGATACTTTCTCAAAGAGCCTTCCATAACTGAAATCCAGGTCTCTCTGGAGGACTGAGGTTTTTCTGTTGTCCTTACTAACCTGAAGCTGACCTTCCAGTTTCTCTGTCCTTTCCCTGGCACCCTTCCAAACTTTGAATGACTGTCTCAGCCTCACTTGATTCGCCATAGCATTGTAAACAACTACCACTATCAGAACATCTACTACATTGCTGGCCCTGCCGCAGGGGTATGCTGAGATAGTGATTGAGACTGTGCCTGCGTGGTGGCGCGCGCCTATAATCCCAGCACTTGGGGGGCTGTAAACAGGAGAATCACTATGAGTCCAATCTACACAGTGAGACCCTGTAGACCGTGTCCTAACATACAAAAAGAATAAAGAAAAAA